GTGGAAATATGTATGTCCATAAAATGTCCAGGATGTTCTTGGATATATTCAGGATAATCCTGATCTTGTGCTGTTAGGGAAGGAGTAAAATCTCCATAAGCTGATCGCCTAAAAAGTGTCCCCGTTTCGATTGTCAATATGGCGTTCTGACGGACCCCACTTTCCGGTTTGTGATGTCAGCACCTGCGTATTACTCGCCTTGCATCAATTAAGTTGTAGAAAATGGTAAAACGCGTTTGTATAGTTCTTAATTGCCGAAATGAGCTGAAATGCACCAAAAAACGAAACAAAGATTTGGGAATTAAGAATAAAAGTCTTTTTAAAGCACCTAAAGTACGTAAGAAAATACTGATTACATTTTGTAAGGTTATGTGCAACATTTATGGTTATTCTTTTTTATTATCAGGACAAAAATTTTTTGGATCGTTGGACTGCAAATTTAGGTCAGTTGAAAAGGCCACTTACTGAATATTGTTTCGTTTGTGAGGAACATTTCAGCATCGAAGATGTTTTTCATTCAAACGATATTTTACTGAATGATGATACAGTACATTGTACTAAAAAAATATTATCGAAATTGAGACCAAATGCTATTCTAATAGTTGCCAAGAATTATTCAGAAAGGAAGTCCAATGCTGAACATTTAATCTTTTGCAGCTGATACGGCAAATTTGACCGGTGACGATAGTGATGATATAAATATAGAAGTACCGTCCTTGTTTGATAACGTTACTCCTCAGAGAAACGACAATTGTGAACAAGCTGTAGAATCATCCACCGCAAAAGATATTAATAAGATATTTACATAACTCGTACTATTCAGTAATATAACGTAATGTTATAAAAAAACACGCATTATACGCGTTTATATGTGTTGTTAAGCGTTTTATTATTTTCTACAATTTTTCGATCAAAATATTGTCGTTTGTTGCAAGGCGAGCAATGCGCAGACGCTGACGTCATAAACCGGAAAGTGGGGTCCGTCAGAACGCCATATTGACAATCGAAACGGGACACTTGTAGAAGCGGAGATTTTACTCCTTAATACTCCGTATACGACATGAAAAGTGCAGTAAATGTGCTATAAAACTGTATTTATTCTGCGCTGATTATATGCGCTTATAACGAGCTTTTTATAGTGGATTTTGAAAGCGCTTTTAAAAGCTGCTAAAGTAATGCACCTGCATACGCGCTTTTTTAGCGCTTTGTAAGCGCTACTATGCTACGTGGGAAGTTATAAATCAGAAGTAAGAAACTAAAAATTGACGACTGTGATTGGTCCATTTCTAGATTATGACTTATATAATTTATAACCTAGCTATGACTTATTGTAGAAGGCTCATAATGTATAACACATAATATATTATAGCGAACATTTTTTATACAATTAAATTGAAAATTTACACACATGAGCAGAGTTTTGGATAGATCTGATTTAAAGACTGATCAAATAATAATGTGTGTGCATGTATACAAATTAGTTACTAAAGTTAAATTTTTTTAATAATATATTAGGAATTCAATCCAAATCTGATAGGATTTGCATTGGGAGACTCTTTAACCACTCACAAAGCATCGCAGTTGAATATTGCTGAATCCGGTGCTGAATCCGCGGATATAATATACATGGCGGAGATGTTAGTCAAGAGGATAAAAAACGATCCGCGGATAAATGTGCAGAAACATTGGAAGGTACGTGGCGCTAGATAATATGATTTGTTACAGGCAACAAGAAAAACTGTACAACTATGGTGATTATATTTTATTATAAAGTTCTTTATTTTAGATAATTATCCTTTATATTTATTTGTTTCTTTAAAACTCAATTTTGATATTATCCTTTACTGTCCTTTAGTTTGACATTACGGGAAATTCTTTTCTAGTTAGAGTTTCAGTGTCTAATTTTATATTATAATGAGCAAATTTTTATAGAAAATATTTTACAATTTCATACGGATAAGTGCAATTTATTTTTGTTAATTATATTTTTTAATTTTTTAAATTAAATTTATTTAAACTAAATTTGTTTTCATTTTTTATTATTTTGAACTTTTTATTATTTTATAGATCAAGGATCTGTTCCAATACAATCGAACCAGTTTCACAAACTATCAGAAAACTACACATCTTAATTTATATTGTGCAATAAAATTTTATATTGCAGATTTTATAATTATAACAAATTCTTAACAGTCACAAAATGATTTGAAAACATATAGGACAACAAAGTTCTAAAATTTTCAGATTTGTTCTTTATTTTTTTTAAGAATATATAGTCACCGTAGGTATAGCATATGCTATTATATTATTATACGTTCCGTTGCTTGTATTTAAGTATTTAGTTATGAACTAGGCTTTATCTTTAGCTTTAAGCTAACTTTTTCTATATATATGTATACCATAAAAAACCTTTTTTTAAAAAAAGAAAAAAAACATACGCCAAGTGCATATAAAAGATAAGTGTTATATGTATATGTCCTATATATGTATATACAGCAAAAAAACAGAACGTTTTATCGTTTGTCATATTTTTTCGATATTTTGTGATATTTGTTAATTTTTTACATTTATAGTAAAATATCTCGTTTCGATGTAAGAATGCCTCTACATAATTCGCGTGATATTCGTTAATTTTGACGAATATTTCGCTTGATATTTGTCAATTTTGACCATATGATCCTTTTCGTCGCTGAAACAACCGGTTTGAGCAGTTTGTAAAAATCTACCTTAACGATTTTCCTAGGTGGGAGCAGCTCATGTTAAACAATGCTCTTTTGATTCCATCAAATATACATTAACGTCTTTTAGCTCTGGTTTTGTAGTGCTAGTTAATGATTGATCTGGATGAATTCAAGATTTTCGTGTCTGCGGATTATTATACAAAACCCATTTTTCATCACAAGTTAATATTTTGTGTAGAAAGTCGTCTTTCTTTAATCTTAATAACATGTTGAATCCGAACTCCTTGTTTTTAGGCGTTAGCACATGTGGAATGTGCACAACTCTCTTTTTGAATCCTATGAAGTTTCTGCAAACGTTTCGAAATGGCTTGTTGGCTTACTGCAAGTGTATTTATAAGCTCTAATTGCGTTTGACAAGGATTTTCGTCTAAAAGCTGATCCAATTCCTCATCCTCTATTTTCTTCGGTTGGCTTAGGCATTCTTTATCTTCCAAATTGAAACTGCCATCTTTGAAACGACTTTTTACATGTACTGTACGACACAGAGTTTTCGCCTAAAGCCGAGCAAATCATTTCTTGAGCTTCCGCGGCATTTTTCTTCAGCTGGAACGCGAAAAGGATGCAATGCCTCAAACGCTGCTTGTCAAATAACATAGTTTTCACTACTACTTTGTGAAATTAGATCTGCAGCATCGACACCTATCATATCTTATTTTAAAGCTTAAGAATGACGCTTCGAAACGATTATATGGTGAAATTCGCGAGATAAAAATTCAAAATTGAATAAGTGCTGTAGTCGACTGAATATAGTGCCCGAGAATTAAGTTGTAGATCTAATAGAAAGATCTTAAAAAATTCAGTCTTCTTACACTAAAAAAAAAAAGATTGGTTGAATATAGCATAGCATTTTTAATTGCAGGAACCAATTAAAAATGTTATGTCATATTTTACCATCTAAATGGTAGCAGCTAATCATTTTTTTCAGTGTATTTATTAAAAATAGGTATTAACCAGGAAATGGAAATAACTCATTACTTGTAACGAAGTTACAGTTACAAGTTACTTTTTTGGTAACTTTACTGGTAACTGCGTTACTTTCTTTTTCTGGTAACTATAGTTATCGGTAACGTAGTGTTACCTACGCCTATGCTAAACGTCACGACATGCGCGGCTAGGCAACGATCTGTATGTCGACGGTCAGAAGGTCGACACCAGGAGTTGTGTTTAGACATTCAAAATAGACACACTCTTTCGTATTAGTACTAGGCCTTCCGCATATTATGATTAGCACATAATTCTCAATTAAACTACGAATTAAAGATTAGTGACAAACACAACAATTGGCGACGAGGATAATGGAGTTTAAAGAGGCACTCATGGCACTCACGCAGCAGCAACAATTGTTCATGCAACAGCAGCAGCAGCAACAAGTACTCTTGCAGCAGCAAATGAAGCAACAACAGGATTTTATGAATCACATGTCTACGATGTGGACTAAGTCAACGGATTCTTCGCAGAGGAATGCAAAAATGGAATCATTAGCAAATTCCATGACCGAATTCATTTACGATCCAGAAAATAATTTGACTTTCGATGTGTGGTATGTAAGATATCAAGGTCTATTTCAAGAGGACGCACAGGATTTAGACGACGCATCCAAGGTCAGACTTCTATTACGAAAAATAAATACAATTTCGCATAAACAGTATGTTGATTACATTCTGCCAAAGATATACAAAGACTTTGATTTCCAAACCACAGTGAGCAAACTCACACAATTATTCGGAAAAAAAAGTTCTCTTTTTAATCAGCGATATGATTGCATGAATACGACAAAATCACCAAATCAAGATTTCGTTTCACTTGCAGCGCTAGTAAACAAACGTTGCGAGGAATTCAAAATTTCTACAATCACTGCCGATCAATTTAAATGCCTTATTTTTGCATGTGCTTTAAGATCGCCTGCGGAAGCCGATATACGAACAAAACTTCTCAACTTAATCGATACAAAGTCAGATACACTTACAATTGACGATCTTACAAGAGAATGTCAGCGATTAATCAATCTCAAGCATGACACATCAGTGATTCAAAACCAAAAATCGACAGAGTCCAATGCCGTAGCGATTGTCAAAACTGATAAACAACGTAAACCGCAGGTGACAAACTCAAATAAATCAAGGAATCTGCAAGGTAAGAAACAAATCAAAAATTCTTTACCTAACAAAGATTCAACACCTTCAACACCGTGTTGGTTTTGCGGACAATTGCATTATTCTAAGTTTTGTACTTTCAAAAATCATAAATGTCAAAAATGTAATACTGTCGGTCACAAAGACGGATATTGCGCTTCAACTCAGAGAGTCAAAACGAAAACAAATAACGAAACGGCAAATCAAAACGTCAAGACGATTAAGGTCAATCAAGTAAATTCAAATCTTACTCGCAAATTTGTGAATATTTCGATAAATAATCAACCAATTAAACTTCAACTTGATACGGGATCAGATATTACCATTATATCAGAAAAGATTTGGTCTTTGTTGGGAAAGCCTACAGGTTGTTCAACGTCTCATGTTGCACGTGACGCGTCGGGAAATCAGATCAATTTCAATCAAGAAATTTATTGTGAAGTAACCTTGAACGGAGTTATCAAACAACTACGATGTTTCGTAACAGCAAATTCGGATCTCAACATCATGGGTCTCGATTGGATCGCAGCTTTCGATTTATGGCAATGCAGTCTCAATAGCTTCTGTTCCAAGATCCATTCTCAAGCAGATTCGACGCACTTTGATATATCCTTCATTAAAGAAAATTTTAAAGAGGTTTTTTCCTCTCAATTAGGTCGTTGCACAAAGACTAAAGTCAAACTGAATTTAAAAAATAATTCAAAACCTATTTTCAGACCTAAGAGACCGGTTGCTTACGCAATTTTACCTTTAGTCGACGCAGAGCTTACAAGACTGGAACAAAATGGAATCATTTCACCAATCAAGTATTCAGACTGGGCAACTCCAATAGTTGTAGTAAGAAAAAAAAATGGAAAGATTAGGATCTGTCCGGATTTCTCAACTGGACTTAACGAATCATTGGAACCTAATCGTTATCCACTTCCATTACCAGATGAAATATTTTCGCAACTGTCAAACTGTAAGTATTTCAGCCAGCTAGATTTGTCAGACGCATTTCTTCAAATTGAAATAGAGGAGCAATCAAGGCATCTTCTAACAATCAATACTCACAGAGGTTTATACGTTTATAATCGTTTACCTTTCGGAGTCACCATAGCTCCAGGTGAATTTCAATCAATCATGGATTCAATGATATCTGGACTAGAAAACGTTTTTGCTTATATTGATGATATTGTTGTGGGTGGAGCTACAGTTCAAGAGCATAATCAAAACTTAACTTATTTATTAGAGCGAATAAAGGATTATGGTCTACATCTGCAAATAGAGAAATGTTGTTTCTTTACTACACAGATCAATTATCTGGGTTATGTCATCGATGGACAAGGATTACATCCAGATCCTACAAAAGTCGAAGCAATTAAAAACATGCCTGAACCACATAATTTAACTACATTACGTTCGTTTTTAGGAGCAATCAATTATTATGCACGTTTCATTTCAAATATGCACATTCTTAGACGTCCTTTGGATAATCTTTTAAAAAAGGATTCTAAATGGAACTGGTCTCCAAAATGTCAAGAATCTTTTAATCAATTTAAGAGAATTCTTTCTTCAAAGCTCTTATTAACTCACTACAATCCTCAGCATGAGATTATTGTAGCAGCAGATGCTTCAAATGAAGGATTAGGAGCATGCATTCTTCATAAATTTCCAGATCATTCGATCAAGGCAATCAGTCACGCCTCAAGGAGTCTCACAGAAGCAGAACGTAAATACAGTCAAATTGAAAAAGAGGCATTAGCAATCATTTTCGCAGTCACGAAATTTCATAGAATGATTTTCGGAAGACAATTCATCCTTCAAACGGATCACAAAC